TTTTATTCTACATGCGTGTCGATTGGTTGGATGTCTCAATCCCTTTTATCATCGTAACTTTTTCACTTTTACTTTTTTTTTTGGTAAATTACATAGTAGCCCCTCAGATTTGATGTCTATTACAAACTCATACAACATCTTTAAAACATTTCACTTTCATACCTCACGTACTATTTTATTTCAAAATAATACATCCGTTACATTTTCCATCCATTGATCCGTTATGTGCTGACGTGGCTGCTAAATGTATGCCACGTGGTAAAAAAAAATTATTATTTAAAAAAAAAAAAAAAACCTTAATCTTCTAAATTTAAAAATTAAAAAAAAAAATAAATAAATAAAACACACGCAGAACCCCATCCCCTTCCCCGCAACCCCTTTCTTTGACAATTTTCAGATTCAACCTCTCCTCACCTCTCTTAACCTCATACTCCACCTCACCGCCTCCCCGATCCTCCGCACCAGATCCTCCCCCTTCGCCTTCACCCACTTCCTCGAGCTTCTTCACGTTGGCTACCGTCATCCCCTTCTTGTTCAAGCCCCCGTCGAATTTCTTGATGGTCTGGACCGGCACACCTGACCGCATCGCGTGGTTCACGCCTTTGGGTCGCCGAGGGCGCTGGCCTTATTGGGCTTCTTCTGGAGGACCACCGGCTCCCAGTTCTAAGCTATGACTCCTTGGTTTCGGCTCGGCATCGTCGGAAATCTAGAGATATATAGAGAGAGTTTCTTGGATTTTTGTTTGTGTTTTTAGAGGAGAAGATGATCAGGGACGATGAAGTTTGGTGCGCAATTTCTAGGTTTAGGGATTAGAGAGAAAGAGGGGGTGTGATTTGGGGGCGCCAAAGTACTGATGCACACATGGCGGTCAATTGGAACAGAGAATTGAAATTAGGGTTTGTAGAGATTGGAACAGAGAAAGAAGATGGCAGGAAGTGAGGGCAGCGAAGCTGGCCCTTTAGAAGTACGATGGCAGAGGTGGGGGTGGGTTTTTGGATAGGAGAGGAGGTGAAGAGAGTGGAGGAGAGTGAGGTGGGGGTCGGGGGGGGGGGAATAGGTTCCGTGTACTCCGCTGAGGTCGTCTTTAGAGCTATAGCGGCTGTGGAGGAGGTGGACGAAGGCGAAGGGGAGGATCTGGTGCGGAGGATCGGGGAGGCACTGAGGTGGAGTGTGAGCTTGAGAAAGGTGAAGAGAGGTTGAATCTAGAGATTGTTGAAGAAAGGGGTAGGGGTTGCAGGGAAGGGGAATAGATGGGTTCTACGTGTGTGTGTGTTTTTTTTTTTTTTTTTTTTAAATTTTTTTTGCCATGTGGCATACATTTGGCAGCCACGTGGCACAAATGTGACAGCCACATCATCACTTAACGGATCAATTGATGAAAAATGTAACGGAAGTATTATTTTGAAATAAAATAGTACGTGAAGTATGAAAGTGAAATGTTTTAAAGATGTTGTATGAGGTTGTAATAGACCTCAAATCTAAGGGGCTACTATGTAATTTACCCTTTTTTTTTTGGGTTTTTGACAGACGGGAAAGCATTATCACTCGAACATAGAATAAAGGTAAATTTTTTTAACAGTAGCATTATATATCCATTTTTGGCATTACATCTTAGATTCAAGTGGAAAAGTAGCAAATGTGACATCCCAACCAATAGAAAACCATAGCATGTGTACAAAAAAAAAACAAAAAGTTTGAACCATCTTCTTTTCTACCGTACCTCCATTTCTACCTGCTCAGGAGTTTCAGTCAACGAAAACTCATATTCCTTTTTCTTGTGCAGTATGAAATCTTTCGTGTTCGCCTGAACATGCAGTGCTCATACAAGTCAGTGATCAAAGAACATACAAAGATTGTTATCTTTTGGGAGAGGAAGAGAAGCGAGTCATTCAGACTAAATTTTTATTTTTTATTTTTTTGGAAACTAGACATGCATTACCAGGCCAACAAGCCAAAGAAAGTACAACGAAAGCCTACACAGACACACTAACACGCTAGACAACAACAAAAAGCGAGCAGTGTGGGGATAAGAGTAAAGACAGTTGAACCAAGCTCGAATGTCTCCCCAACAACTGCCAACCCAAAATCAAGGGGGACAAGGTAATCCATCTTTGTTGAAAACATGCACCAACGAAGATGAGAGCTTGCTGACCCAAACGATATCGCACATCTTCGTACAGCGACACGACGCTAAGGTATGCGCCACCATATTGGCTGACCTTGGAACCTAAGACCAGTGACAATCCTAAAAGGCCTCTCCAAGTTGTTTAGCGATAGATAAAATAGGAAAAACCTCCCAGCTGCCAGCTTACAAGGAAGAAGCCAAAGAGGAAATCAAAGCCTGCGAATCAGATTCAATAATTATACTTTGGTAGCCTAAGTCTGTAGCCAACTGACATCCACGCAAAATAGCCAAAGCTTCAGCCACAAGAGCAAACGGAGCATGAATATGAGACCTTACCGCAGCCACAAACTCTGCCCGCTAACCTCGCATCACAACCCCTACAAAACCTTGCTTATTTACAATAGACCAGCTAGCATCCACATTTACTTTAAAGAAGGGACACAAAGGAGAAGACCAACGAGCTGTCGGTACAGCCACCGAAGCTCGAGCCAACCGAGAAGATGGGAGAACACCCATGACACCAAGGTACATTGGCTGAAAGAGAAATGGCATGTTGGACCTGTGAAGGATTAATAGGAGAGTGATTGAACATAAACTGGCATCTCGCTTTCCAAATATGCCAGCATGTAAATGCAACATGCGAAAGCAAGATAACATGTTCTTCCTTGGAGCCAAACCTCCTAGATATGATGGAATGAAACCAAGCCACCCAAGATGAAATCTAACATCGATCAACTTTATAATTGAGGACAGCGCCGAACCAAATAGGTTCCACCCAAAGACATAACAAAAAGAGATACTTTACAGATTCCACTTCCTTATTACAAATTTGACAGATAGGTGATGGGGCAGAATGCCGACGAAATAAATTCTCTAGTGTTGCCAGTGCTTGATGAACAATGCGCCACATAAAATTACGAATTTTAGGCGGACTTCACAACTTCCAAATAGAGAGCCAAACCTGTGATGAAATAGAGCTAGAAGATGAGGGTCGGCAATGAATGTCGGTGTCGTGCAAAGATCTTGCCCGGTGATAACCAGATTTCACCATATACACCCCAGTCTTAGTAGCATCCCAAATGAAGCGGTCATTACGCCGTGTATCCCCAATCGAGGTGGCTAAGATGGCATTTTGGTCCTCCGACAATAAAAAAGGTTGAAGAAACTGAAGATCCCAAGCATTGGAATTAGGACACATGAGTGATGCAACGCGAGTGTCTCTAGTCACATGCACAGTCCCTGGTTGAGGATGACCCAACGGAAGAGAGGAGCCAATGATCAATCCACATCCGTGCAGTACATCCATTCATAATTTGCCAATGCAACCCTTTCATCAACAGATCTCGACCAACCAGCAAACTACTCCAGGCCTAGGAAGCATGACTCCCACGCTGAGCATCAAAGAGCGAATAATGTGGAAAGTACCTAGCTTTAAGAACTGAAGCCTAAAGTGAGTTCGGTTGTTGGATGAGTCGCCAGCATTGTTTAGCAAGTAATGCATCATTAAAGTCCGTAAATTGGCGAAACCCCATACCCCCCATCTTTTTTCGAGAGATGCAAAGTATGTTTAGAGACCCAGTGGAGTTATGCTTGTCACCCATAGTCCCCTACCAGAAATAAGAAATGAGAAAGTCCAACTCAAGATAAACCGAATTTGGGAACTTAAACAGATTCATAGGGTAAACGAGAATAGCTTGGACAACCGCTTTAATTAATACCTCTTTACCCACTTGAGTAAGAACGTTAGGTATCCACCCTTGTATTTTCCGCATCACCTTCCCCTTCACAAAAGCCAGGCCTTGCCACTTGGATCTCCCCTACAAAGCTGGAACCCCAAGATAGGTTTCCAGATCAAAAACTACCTGCATATGTAAAAGTTACCCCCACTCATCCGATACTATCATCGGTGTATTAGCACCGAAGAACACCGATGACTTCTGTAGATTTACAGCTTGACTCGAGGCTGCACAATATTGATCAAGAATATCAAGGAAATGAGAGCAATTTCTACGCGTCGCTTTTAGAAAAATAAGTGTATCATCAGCAAAGAATAGATGGGAAATGACGGAAGTATGCTGATTCACCTTAATACCCTTCAATTTATCCCTCTCATTCCAAGGACATAATTTAATAAAGTTGGAACATTGGTCCCTGGACTTTGTCCCAATTGGAGCTTTGATCAACAACAACAACAAAGCCTTTTCCCACTAAGTGGGGTCGGCTATATGAATCCTAGAACGCCATTGCGCTCGGTTTTGTGTCATGTCCTCCGTTAGATCCAAGTACTCTAAGTCTTTTCTTAGGGTCTCTTCCAAAGTTTTCCGAGGTCTTCCTCTACCCCTTCGGCCTTGAACCTCTATCCCGTAGTCATATCTTCGAACCGGAGCATCAGTAGGCCTTCTTTGCACATGGCCAAACAACCGTAACCGATTTTCTCTCATCTTTCCTTCAATTTCGGCTACTCCTACTTTACCTCGGATATCTTCATTCCTAATCTTATCCTTTCTCGTGTGCCCACACATCCAACAAAGCATCCTCATCTTCGCTACATCCATTTTGTGTACGTGTTGATGCTTCACCGCCCAACATTCTATGCTATACAGCATCGCCGGCCTTATTGCCGTCCTATAAAATTTTCCCTTGAGCTTCAGTGGCCTACGACGGTCACACAACACGCCGGATGCACTATTCCACTTCATCCATCTAGCTTGTATTCTATGGTTGAGATCTCCATCTAATTCTCCGTTCTTTTGCTAGATAGATCCTAGGTAGCGAAAACGGTCGCACTTTGGTATTTCCTGATCTCCGATCCTCACCCCTAACTCATTTTGGCCTCCATTTGCACTGAACTTGCACTTCATATATTCTGTCTTTGATCGGCTTAGGCGAAGACCTTTAGATTCCAATACTTCTCTCCAAAGGTTAAGCTTCGCATTTACCCCTTCCTGAGTTTCATCTATCAACACTATATCGTTTGCGAAAAGCATACACCAAGGAATATCATCTTGAATATGTCCTGTTAACTCATCCATTACCAACGCAAAAAGGTAAGGACTTAAGGATTGTTGATGCACAAAATCAGTGAGGACTTTGGTACAACAGAAAGTATTAAGTTTGTGATCTTCGCTAGATTGCTCTGGTCATTAGTGTGGATAAGTATGTAAATGGATAGAGACAGGAAAACAAACACAAGATGTACATGGTTCACCCAGATTGGCTACGTCCACGGAGTAGAGGAGTTCTCATTAATTGTGAAGGGTTTACACAAGTACATAGGTTCAAGCTTTCCTTTAGTGAGTACAAGTGAATGATTTAGTACAATTGACATTAGGAAATATTGTGGGAGAATGATATCGTAATCACGAAACTTCTGAGTACCGAAGTGTGGTATCGTCTTCACTTGCCTTATTTGTCTCATAGGTAGATGTGGCATCTTCTCTGGAAGTACTCTTCCTCCATCCAGGGATGGTATCTTTAACTGATGGAGAAGCATAAGGTAATATATCAATTTCACTTGAAGCTTACTTGTAGTTTCAAGCTTGGTCAAGCGCGATACAAACCATGTAGTAGGAGTCCCTCAAGTCGCCGAGCTAGGGGATCTGCTGAAAGAGGTGACAGACAAGGTAAGCAATTAGAGCTCCAAACAATCAGTCCTAGATCAGAAGTTTGATTTCGAGTTCTGGCTGATTGTTCTCATTCTCCCTATCTTGCAGGCAGCATGAAGGATAAAGAGAAGAAAAAGAAGAAGAGAGATGATATGATATACTTTTGCTTTTGAAGAAGTAACTTTCCACAAGCTTATTCTTGAACTGGGCTGGAGGGTTTTCGGGTTTCCTCTAGAGTATAAGGCCGACTGAAGAATTTGAGGGTCAAAACAAGTCCATCAAATCTAGAGTACGTTCGACCTTGCTGATTGATGTGAAAAATAAGTTAACACACAAAATTAAACCCTCTTTTTATCAATTGTAGCAAAGTATGTAAATAGGGATCGTTCTAGATCGGGGATTAGAAGGGATTGCTAAAACACTTGAAAACTGACTTAGAAATGTAAAAACAAAGTTTAAAGCACTAGATTAGACTCAAAGAATGCAAAACTCACGTTTAAAATACTAAAACAAACCAAAAACTCAAAACAGCAATCAAAAGATTCAAAACTACCTTAAAAACACTTTCTGGGCAGTTTTTGAACACAAAGCATCAAATTGGACGAATTTGGGTTTTAACTTGTACCAAAACACTTAAAAACATAAACCAACACACTTTCCAATTAATCTAGGAATTCAAAATAATTGGGGATTTGATTTTGGACGAAAATAAACTTAAATGGCAGATTGTAAGAGAAACAGATTGTAATACAAAGTTATGAAGAATCAATGGATGATGGAATGGCTAAGGGGTTCTTCTCCACACATGAAAATATATGCAACCTAAATCGATTTCCAGTTATCAATTGAATAAGTTATGAACCTCGACACTCCAAGTTAATTAGATCCGCTTAAATTAACCTTCAGATTTCCCTAGAATCATTGAATTGGATGAATATGCATCGCAAACAAATTATTCCAAACAAGTTCTTTATATGAACAACATGATAAAGATACAGGTTAGAATCATTACGTTCTTTGGAAATCATAAGCATCGACAAGGCATTCGTAACTATGAAAAGCATGATACTCTTG